CACCTGGCTCACCCCCGCCTCCACTCACAGTATAGGGCATTAAATGCAGCCTCAGCAATGCTAGGCAAGGACACTATAGGACAAGCACTCTGCCAGCTGAGCTTTGTCCTAAGGCAAGAGGAAACTTAGGGGGAGAAATCTCTTGTCTTTGCTTGGAAAAGGTTTCTTACTGACCCACAGTGCACACTGAGTGCTCTCAGTGAGTAAGGTAAAAGCAACTGTACTCAGAGTATTAATGTACAGTCTGTGGGCTTGACTGTGAAGCAGGAGTCCTATGAAGGTGGTCACTCCTGGTAAAAAGATGACCATTTTTGGGTTTGTTTTTCTGTTTGCTTTTTCAGAGGGGACCTCAGGTAACTGGGGCCGCCTTGAACTGTTTATTTTCTGCCTTCCCTCTTATGTCCTGGGTTACAGGCCTAAGCCATGGTGTAAGCAAGGTTTTATGTAGTGCTAGGTATGCAGCTTCTTGCATATTAAGAAAGCACTGTACCAGTTGAGCTCCTGAGGTCTCTGCATTAGGTTGTTCTGAAACTCACAGCCTTCATCGTGACTCGATCTCAAAAGCTGGCTTTACAGGCCTATTTGCTAATCCTCCATCCCGGGGAAACTGATCCTGAGACTTAAGAATGTTTTTGTTGCTTCATGCATAAAATATCATGACCAAAGCAGCTTGAGAGAGGAAAAGGCTGGTTCTCATCTTATAGGTCATAGGTCATGCTTGAGGGAAGTTGAGTCTGGAATTGAAAATAGGAACTTGCTGGCAGGAACTAAAGTGAAGACCATAGAGGCATGCTGATTTCTGGCTTGCTTCCATTCTTCACACTCAGACAGATTATACAGGCCACCTAGGGCCACCTGGCCAAAGTGGGCCTGCCCACAGTGAGCTTGGCCCTCCTATATCAATCATAAATCATTTTGATGCTCCCTCAGACCTGTCTGATGGAGGCAATTCCTCACTGGAAGTTTCCCCTTTTGTTCAGGTGGTCACAGTTTCTGTCAAGTTGACAAAGAACTGACCTGGATAATGTAAACTTGCCAGCCCACTGTCAAACTGTTTCCCTGCTGTGTGAAAGCACAAGACCACGATTAACAGCCTTATAAAACAAAATTTATTACAGAATATACAAAGGAAAAATTATAGCATTAGCATTTATATTCTTTCCACTATTTGGGCATAAGTATGCTATTTAGCTATAAAGATATAGCTTAAAGACTGAATGATTTAATGCCCAAGATTAAAACTAAACTGTACCTCCAGGCCGTGGTAGCCAGTGCCTTTTAATCCCAGTACTCTGGAGGCAGAGGCAGGAGAATCTCTGAGTTTGAGGTTAGCCTGTTCTAGGGAATTTGTTCCAGAACAGCCAAGGCTTACACAGAGAAAGAAATCTTGTCACAAACCAACAAACCAACCAACAAACCAAGCAATCAAAACAAAACAAAAAACAAAAAAAAAAATGAACTCATAAACACACAGACACACAAGGAACACACACACACACACCAAACTCTAAAACCAACTGCCCTACTTCTGTACTCATAAAAGAAACCAAATCAACCAAACAAAAAAACCCTACCACACCTTGTGAATTCATAAGAAATAGCAACAGGGACAAATACAACAAAGTACACACACTGTTCTCAAGACTAAGTCCACCCATACATTGTAATTCTGAGTATATTAAAATGTTTCCCAGGATTCCTTCTCTTAACAGTACTACTACAAAATAAATAAATAAATAAATAGATAGATAGATAGATAGATAGATAAATGTTGTATAACTTTCTTTCTTTTTTTTTTTAATGAAGTGACTCCTAACTCTTTTTTTAATGGTGGCTCATAGTTGTAATTTTTTTCTTTAAAAGTTGAACGTAGCTGGCTTATCAAGTCCCACTATTCCATAAATATTCTTTTAATGTCTCAGACCTTGCATAATTTTTATGCAAATCTTTTACTCTCACCAGGAAAGAAATCTGTTTACACAAAACTGTCACATCCACTCACCTCCAATACATTTCCAGAACATGGTGATCACCTGGCACAAGGCCAGTCTCCCCGTTTCTTCTATTTCTTTACAGCAATTCCTTAAACAAGTCATTCTTGAAAGAGTTCGAGGTGGGAATCCAGTTGAAGGGGAAAAGACACCATAGCCACTTCTTTACAGTAAAATGAAGTGAACTTCCTGCACCTGTGTTCTAGTTTATGTTCCGGCAGGAGCTCTTTCTCTGTCTCTTCCCCTCCTCTTGCTGCCATGGAGCTCTTTCTTGAAACCAGGCCAGTGGGCTAGTTTCATAGTTAGAAATCTGCCTGCTTCCCAAGTGCTTGGACTGAAGCTGGTAGGACCAAGTTCTCTGCCTGGTGCACAAAAGAAATTGCCTTAAGGAGATAGATGTTTTGCCTTTGGCTTCGTGTCCCCTGTGTGACCTTAAGACTCCTTTCTGTGTGAAAGCCGAGGAACTGGTAGCAGACCAGTTGGGCTCTCCAAAAGATTATAGGAACTCGTTATTGCTGTGTGGCAGCAGTGCAGGGGATTCTTTCCCTGTTGCTCAGACTGACAGTATGTGTCCTAATAGGAGCACTCATCTTTTCATATGCGTATAGATCTTTATGCCTGCTGCACTGCAAACTGAAGGCATCGGAGGCACAGCAAGCTCAGGAAGAGACTTGGTTTGACCTTCTCTTAAAAGACAAATTGTCACAGGGCTGTGGTGGCGCACACCTTTAGTCCCAGCACTTGGGAGGCAGAGGCAGGCGGATTTCTGAGTTCGAGAGTTCGAGGCCAGCCTGGTCTACCGAGTGAGTTCCAGGACAGCCAGGGCTACACAAAGAAGAGAAACCCTGTCTCTAAAAACCAAAAAAAAAGACAAATTGTCCAAAGACAAATGTCCAGAAACTACTGTAGTATCAAGACTTTCTTCTAAAAATCATCTGAAGTAGAGACTGCATCAGCAGAGATCTTCAAGATCAGCGCCCTGCTCAGACAGACTTGGCACACGTAGTCTTCCATAGCTCACTTCCTTTCCACTAGCTTGCCTGTATGTCTTCCACCCGCCACTAAGAAGGAATATAAACCTTAAGATCTCTCTCATCAGGGTATTTTGTTTTCTTTCATAATATACCTACACACTTTGCTAGGCCCGAGAAAAACCACAGGTATCTTGATTAAAGCAAGCTTTATATTTAGAATTGGGAAGCTTGCTGACTTTCCAAAAATTAAGATTTCAGAGAGCAGTCCCCCCCGCAACCCCCCCCCCCCCCCCGGCTTTTGCGGTACCATTTATGAGGAAACATCAGCGCAGATAGAAGACAGTTGTGCTGTTAGCACCAAGACAGAAGAGCGGGGGACTGAGGGCTCAAGACTGCTTGTGAGGTAGAAAGGTTCTAAAGATACATTGTGTGGAAGGAGAGTCATCAAGGTATCTGGGAAGACACATTTTAGTACGGCTAAAGCACAATCGTGTATCACACGCTCAGGAGTTAGGCAAGGCAAAGAGGTGGGCATACATTATGGGATGGCAAGATTAGTAAATTGAAAGACATTATTTTGCAGGATACATTAGGCATGGGAGACAAACTTACTCTTGTAAGGCATGGAGACTTAATAACAATGTAGCTCCTGTTTTGGTCTCATAACTTCTCTGGCTAATCTGCTACTGCCATATTCTTAATCATGGCACACTGAGAGGAGAAGGAAACTTTACTTTCCCTCACAAGAATTCAGTCTGAAATTCTAACTCTAAAACAGTAGCCGATGCACAAGAATGTAAGCATAGTGTGAGGGTGAGGAAGGAGGTTTTCTAGTTAAGCCTTGCTACAGAGTAAGACCCAAGTTTCTTACACACACAAAATCAAAATCCAAAGCTACCAACCGTCCTTGGAAAACCCAAATCCCAAACCCCAAACCCCAAACCCAAACGGCAAGGAAAAAAAAAATGAATGGAAGAGTCTGTATTACATAATAGGATACATTAAAACATTTATTTTATAATGTGTTAAATATTTCTTTTTCAGGATATTTTGGAGGGTAGTTCACAGTTCGGTCTCCACTCAGAAAAGTCTGTATTTATGTTGCAGCTTCAGTTCAATCATTTTAATTTCCTCAACTTTAAAAGGAAGAAAGATAATAGAATTTGTTCCACAGGATTCTATAGAGATTAATGGAGATGATTAAGGAAAATGGTTAGACTTTATTAAGACCGTACTAGTCATACAACAGCTAACATTCATTTTAGCAGTAGCACACTAAATATCTCATTGTTATTCAATTACTTTGAGCTGTTCATACTCGAACTTAAGTCAACACTATTTGCATTTACTAAGCTAGAGGACTTACAGAAAGAGGGCTTTAAAATTTCTTGAAATTTGTTTGATTTAATCTTTACTTAGTATTTTATCCTCTGAAACATCCCAGGACAAGCCCAAGTAAAAATCACAGTAGGATACAATATATCCTCTTTGAGTAGTTTTTTTTTTTCCCTCCCACAATCTATTTTCAATCACATCAGTAGACAATTAAGGTGGAACAGAAGAAATTTACAAAATTTGAACACATTTTGGAAAACAGTAAAAAGTTTTCTATTTTCTTGGTGCTTGGCTGGGGCCTTGTAAGAGCAAATCAGGCTGTACAGGCCTCTAATTCCTGCGACTCATGAAACAGGCAATAAGTCCCATCTTGAGGCTAGCCTGGCTAGAATCAGTTCGAGAACAAACTGCTAACCAGTAAAATTCGTTTCGAAAACAAAAAACTTAAACCAAATGACCAAGAAAACGGGACCGAATCAAGTTAAGCTGAGCCTGACTACATCTCTTGTTTCCAGCAAGCATCATGTAGAGCTCTGGGCTCCAAAAGACTTATAAATTTCACATCTATGTCCACACCCTAGATCCGGGAGGAACACAGAATCTACTGTGACGTCTGTTTCACGAGTTCAAAAACAATTTAAAACACTGGATCATAGCACTAACAAGACAGGCTAAATTTCAACTAAATATTCCTCATGGACTCTGGAACATTAAAAGCAATGTTAACGCCAGTACGGGTGCAGGTATTTAACCCTAGTAGTCAGGGAGTCCTCGGCCTCCGATGTTAATCTGACAATTTCACCAGAGCCTAGGAAAGAGAAACATAGGTACTATGTTATCAGAAAAAGTAAAGTCAGCTACAGCCACCTACACAAGCAAACCAGCTCTGTTTTGAGAACGTAGGTGGCTCTGAAAAGAGCCTTTGTGTTAGGAGTGAGTTATAAACTCACTTGGAGCTGGTGTACTTGGTGACGGCCTTGGTGCCCTCGGACACGGCGTGCTTGGCCAGCTCCCCGGGTAGCAGTAGGCGCACGGCCGTCTGGATCTCCCGGGACGTGATGGTCGAGCGCTTGTTGTAATGCGCCAGGCGCGACGCCTCGCCCGCGATGCGCTCGAAGATGTCGTTGACGAACGAGTTCATGATGCCCATGGCCTTGGAGGAGATGCCGGTGTCGGGGTGCACTTGCTTCAGCACCTTGTACACGTACACCGAGTAGCTCTCCTTGCGGCTGCGCTTGCGCTTCTTGCCGTCCTTCTTCTGGGCCTTGGTCACGGCCTTCTTGGAGCCCTTCTTCGGGGCGGGAGCGGACTTCGTGGGCTCAGGCATGGTGAATAGGGTCTCGGACACTCTACAACTTCAGCGTGAGCCCTTCGCCTTTTATAATGCGTTATTCAAATGAAGCTTATAGAGGCACATTTCTGATTGGTCAAGTACTTCAAATGGTCCGAAAATATTGCCCAATTGAAATAGGCGTCGGCACAAACGCTTCCCATTGGTTGAGAAGAAAGAAAAAGTCAGCCAATCGCATCGTCTGTTTTTTGCTCCCAGAGAATCCTATAAATGCCAAACTCCTCCACTCTTGTGCTACATAGTTGTCTTTGCCTTATTACTTATAATGTCTGGACGCGGCAAACAGGGCGGCAAGGCTCGCGCCAAGGCCAAGACCCGCTCCTCCCGGGCAGGCCTACAGTTCCCCGTGGGCCGTGTGCACCGTCTGCTTCGTAAGGGCAACTATTCGGAGCGGGTGGGCGCCGGCGCCCCGGTGTACCTGGCGGCCGTGCTGGAGTACTTGACGGCCGAGATCCTGGAGCTGGCGGGCAACGCGGCCCGCGACAACAAGAAGACGCGCATCATCCCGCGCCACCTGCAGCTGGCCATCCGCAACGACGAGGAGCTCAACAAGCTGCTGGGCCGCGTCACCATCGCGCAGGGCGGCGTCCTGCCCAACATCCAGGCCGTGCTGCTGCCCAAAAAGACTGAGAGCAGCCACCACAAGACCAAGGGAAAATAAGATCAGATTTTCACAGATCTGGAAACAAAGGCTCTTTTCAGAGCCACCTACTCAAGTCTTTTAAAGAGCTTTAAGCATTTTGGTTTACTACATAACTTAACCTATAGCAGGAATATTATTTCCCTTCATCCTCGACACTGTTAATTTTGGTAACATTTAACCCCACAGTGAGTACACTGAAATCTCAGTTGGTAGCTTGTACATTCATCTAGTTTTCTGTATACGATATTCTTAACTGTCAAATTTACTAGTCCCTAATAAGTTAAAAACAGGAAAACAGGGTTTTTTTGCCACAGCATTTAAATTGATTTTAGTGTTTTAGTAAAATTTTGAATTAAGAGCAAGCGATTTCTTGAAATTGAAAAGTTGTATCAGGTTCAATTAGGTTCCATCGAGACTTAAACCATAACTTGAATTTCTTATGGATGAAGACTTAATCTGCGTTTACACATTTGAACAAATGGTGGCCATTCATTTTTTTTCTAGGTACGTGGAATTTTGGTAGGCTCAAGTGATAAACGGTACATTGAATTTTGAAGAACAAGTAAAAAATTTGAGTCATACTAGTTAGATGTGATAATTAAGAACACATTACCTGCCATATTATTTTATCATGTTTTAGTGCATAGGAATAAAGGTAAAATGTTGGTAGCAGTCATCTGGGGAAAAAAAAGTATAGAACAACCTATATAAGAGAAATAGAAAAGAGCATGCAGATTGCTCAATGTATCAAAGGATTTGCAAATGCATTTCTCTGGACATTTGCAAATGCATTTCTGTGGACACATTACCTAGCGTCAGTTTATCATGTTACAGTTTCGGTGTACTTCCTACGACAAAATTATTCCACCAATAGTTATCTGTACTGGGGGAATAAAAAGAACTAAACCTATACTTGAAAAATAGAAACTACAGCCTGTAGATTACTAAAGGGATCAAAGTTACACATGTCTCTAAGACAAACTCTGGCTCTATATAGTTCTGGCTGGCCTCTTAGTAGCAGCAATTCTCCTTTTTCAGCTTCTAGAGTGCTTGGCTTACGATTTCAATACCTACACTTCAGACATAAATGCAAGATCTAAATACATGTGAAGTTGTTCGGTAACACTCTTTAGTATTTAAAGAGGGAGAAGGGAGGCAGGAGCCGGGAACGGGGAGAGGGGAGGGCGGGGGGAAGAGAAAAGGGACGTGGGAGAGGCGTGGTGTAGTGCTGTCCAATCAGCTTCAGAATCTCATTATAAATAGGCCTTCAGTCATTTCTATCTTAGCAGACTTAACCTAGAAGTCATGGCTCGTACTAAGCAGACTGCTCGCAAGTCCACCGGCGGCAAGGCCCCGCGCAAGCAGCTGGCCACCAAGGCCGCCCGCAAGAGCGCCCCGGCCACCGGCGGCGTGAAGAAGCCCCACCGCTACCGCCCCGGCACCGTGGCGCTGCGCGAGATCCGGCGCTACCAGAAGTCGACCGAGCTGCTGATCCGCAAGCTGCCGTTCCAGCGCCTGGTGCGCGAGATCGCGCAGGACTTCAAGACCGACTTGCGCTTCCAGAGCTCTGCGGTGATGGCTCTGCAGGAGGCGAGCGAGGCCTACCTTGTGGGTCTGTTTGAGGACACCAACCTGTGCGCCATCCACGCCAAGCGTGTCACCATCATGCCCAAGGACATCCAGCTGGCCCGCCGCATCCGCGGGGAGAGGGCGTAATAATACTCATCTCTTACCCCCCAAAAGGCTCTTTTTAGAGCCACCACCTTTTCACATAAGTAGCTGTTTTCACTACCTTAAAAGTTGCAAGTAACTTAGAAATCTAAGTGTTAAGAACCTTTAGATTACAAGTTTTAGAGGTTTTTAAGTGGAAGTGGTAATACCAGTTTGTACTGCATGTCACGTTCATATACTATCCTGCATTGATTCCAGCCATATTTGAATACAGAGGTAGTTTACAGAACACCCGCAGCATCTTTATGTCATAAGGGTGTGCAAACAGGCAAAATGAAAAATTCTCTTATGGGAAAATAAGGTTTTTTCCTGTATTGGTTTGGAAGTTGTCCAGGTTTTCATCCATTTAGTCTAGCACAAAGGCAAACTTAACCCTGGTCTGTCCAGGTTCTTAACCTGTGTAGAACAGCAGTCTTTTTCTCATGGAATGAGGCTCTTCAAAGGATAAAGAAAGTTCCCACAACAGTGCGTTTGGAACAGTGGAGTTCATTTATACTTCCCCCTTTGCTGAAGAATTCTGGCTTCCGTACCTATGGAAGAAAAATGATCCAGGAGAGTAGAATGCCAGGGATTTCCTTCACAGGCCCAGTCTCCTTTAGTCAGCCTCATCAGGGAGAATATTAGCAGGATAAGACACGGTCAAGGCAACCAAACCAGCCAAGTTTCAAAGTAGCGTATATAGGGGACTTAATGTTTGACCCCAAGTATGTCACTTGGTTATAAGGATTAATTGAAGATGACATTGAATACAAGGGAGGTGAAACACTTGACAGACGTCTCTGTTTTCTTTAAAATGCCATGAAGGAAACTTCCCCTGTTATTGTGCTTTGACATACCAAAAAATAATGCCCATCATGGAAGATTCCTATTAGGTTAGCCTCTCCCATTACTAGTTTTCTCGATGTATTTACCTTCCCATATATTTATTTCCCAGATCCTTAAAAGAGCTGATGAACTTCATTTTAAAATTTTCTTTAGCTTGCTTGCTGCAAAACATTTCTCTGTATATTTCATAAATCATCTCTTCTGTTAAGATTTCGTTTGTTAGTTCAATTTTGAGGCTCCAGGCAGCAAACTTTTTCTGGTTTCAAGTCTCCAAGAATTTTGTGTTATAAAATTTCAAATAATTTACACATAGCCTGTGCTTTTTTTCCCCAAGTAAAATGCATCTTGGTTTTAAAATAATTGTTGTAAGTAAAGCAGATTGTTGAGGCTTTTCTGTTAGATGCCAAGACCACTCATAACCTATGAGCACGGAAGAAAAGAGTCATTAACAGACAAGAGCTTGTGCACTTCAAAATGTACTTACACAAACTATTACAATTAACTGTGACATATATTCCAACCGTAAAAAAAAAAACCAGTGACACATTTTAAAGATAAATATCACTGACATTCAGGTAAGAGAAGAAGGAGAGTGAGAGAAAACTCAGTTGCTCTGGAAGATAATATAGGGTGTTTGGTAATTTTTAAAAAACAGATGGAATCTTGAGAACCAAGCAACACTGTTGTCTTTCAAACTTTTTTTTCCCCAATAAAGTCATCTCTGGCCTCTGCATTGTGCCTCTTACTTATAAATGTAAGAGAATCTGAAGTTCTTTAGAATCTGAAGTTTCAGAAATTCTTTCTTTTTTCCTGAAAATCCTGATAAGGTTCTCTGGCAAACAGCAAGTAAATATTGCTTGTGCCAGATATCCCAATTAGGCAAAAAGCCTGTTCGTAAAACAACGTGCCCACTGTCTGATCTTATTGCTTTTGTTTCTGGCAAATCTGATCACATTAAGGTGGAGGTAAGGGCCCGGACAAAAGCGGTGCCAAGCACTACCGAAAAGTTATGTGCAATGTGCTGCATATCACCAAGCCTGCCATCTTCTGTCTGGCTCAGCAGTAGCATCAAGATTATCCCTGGTTGAGCTAATCCGGAGGCTGCCTTAGTCTCCTAGAGCTGTATACATTTTTTGTGTACGCTGCTTTCTCTGTGAATTCCCCGGTTCCCTTCCAACCTTGAATGGTGTAACTTTGTAACTTGTAAATGAAGGCCAAACCACCAATCCGTGTCCCTAACAGTGTTGCTGTAATATAGTAGTAGAATCTCAACGCTTTCTGGGGTTGAAACTTCAGCAAGTTGCGGGTTCATCCATTTTGAATTTTTTTCGCGCCAAAATCGCAACCGTAGAGAGAAAGGCAGTATCATTTACAATTTCTGAAAGTTTCCGGCCATAAAACTGTTGCAGCTGTCTTTTGGGTAAAATCAAGTGTAAGAAGTGTTGATGACTCCAGGAATAGTTCTTTCTGTTAATTTTCTTTTCAGATTTTTTTTCATTAAATTTCTGCCCCAAATAACCGCGCCTTTGTTTAAATAAATAACGAAGAGATCCTTTGAGCTACAAAGCCAACATTTGCTCCAGATGATAATTCCTGTGAGTTGCTAGAATAATTTTTACGTTAAAAAAAAATTGTACATTTAGTATAAAATGTAGGCGTTTTCCTTTTCATTACTTGGCTTAAACGCAGACCAATCACATGTCTGGTACTATGACGTCAGGAGTTTACTGTCCAATCCAAAAGGGTGGCTTCTTATATATATACTTGAGCTCTTTCAGCACACAAGTCATCTTATTCTCCTGCTGTACTGAAATGGCTCGTACTAAGCAGACCGCTCGCAAGTCCACCGGCGGCAAGGCCCCGCGTAAGCAGCTGGCCACTAAGGCCGCCCGCAAGAGCGCCCCAGCCACCGGCGGCGTGAAGAAGCCCCATCGCTACCGCCCCGGCACCGTGGCGCTGCGGGAGATCCGGCGCTATCAGAAGTCGACCGAGCTGCTGATCCGCAAGCTGCCGTTCCAGCGCCTGGTGCGCGAGATCGCGCAGGACTTCAAGACCGACCTGCGCTTCCAGAGCTCTGCGGTGATGGCTCTGCAGGAGGCCTGCGAGGCCTACCTTGTGGGTCTGTTTGAGGACACCAACCTGTGCGCCATCCACGCCAAGCGTGTCACCATCATGCCCAAGGACATTCAGCTGGCCCGCCGCATCCGGGGAGAGCGGGCGTAGTTCCCCTCCCTATTACTACAAAAGGCTCTTTTCAGAGCCCCTCCTTTGTCACAAAAAAGGAGCTGTTTACCTCATGTACCTTTTGAGTTATTGACCTTGAGTGTTCAGTGCCTTGGTATCTTAGTACATTTGCTACGGTCATTTTAGGATATCAGAGTCTGCTAGTTTTACAGTCTCTAGGCAGGCCTTTGAACTAGTTCTTCCTCACCTCAAGGTGGCAGGCGTCTAAAACGTCAAGTCAAATGCTACAGGAAATCTGTAGAGCTATGCCTTTTGGTACTTGTTAATGGGAAATCCCCTTTGCCCATTCATTCTGAGTTGGAGTGTTTCCTAAATCTGAAGCTTATTTGTACAAGAATTGACTAGGATGTTTGTTTTGGGCGCCAAGGCTTGAAGTTTAGCAATCTTGAACCCTTTTTTTTAAGTGCTCACACTGACCCTTTTTAATTAGTTTGGTGCTATGACTTTTTTTTTGAGTCAATGTCTTTGACGTACCTACTTTTAACCATATTTTTTAAGCTTCAAAAAGTTAGTAGCTTGATACAATGTACCTTTTTAGGCTTGCCTGTTTTGTACACCATTCCCAGATTACATGTAGCAAATATGTTCGCTCCCTTAATCTCTACTTGTAAGACAGTCTCCTTTATTTTATTTTGTTTAAGTATTTTTTTTTTTTTTTTGAGTTAAGGGCTCAAGTAGCTCAAACAATTAGCTCAGTGTTCAATGTGGGATCAGCTTGAATATGTAGCAATGAAAGACTTTGTAATCCTAATCTTGCTTCAGATACATAGTTGTAATTGTAGCATTATAAGCGTGCCCCAGTAAACTATGCTCAAGAAAGACTCCTATTGTTCAAAACAAAACCAAACCTCAAACTGTTTCTTTGGAAAACAAAGTAATAAAATTCTTTGTGATTTATTAAACAAGTCATTCTGATGCCCTTTATTAAAGTAGTACAAATCTTGTACATCTTTCCTCACAAAAGCAAAGCTCACTTCTATTTCTACTATAGTAGTATAGTAAGCTTTTATTTTTTTCCCTATAGCAAACTTCACCATAACCCATAACCCTTTCTCTTTTTTCTCAAAGCCTTTTTTTTGTTTGTTTGGTTTTTTTTTTTTTTTTTTTTTCAAGACAAGTTTTCTCTGTGTGATCCTAGGTGTCCTGGAACTTGATCTATAGACTCCTCTAGACTGGCCTTGAACTCACAGAGCTCCACCTGCCTCTGCTTCTCAAATTCCTGGATTAAAGGTGTGTACCACCACCGCCGCCGCCCAGCTTCTCCAAATCTTTGAATTTGTATAAATGTAGGTCCCTCTATAGTATTCTAAAATATTGGCCTGCTTTTTATCTAAACATTCCAAAAATACCAATATTGTTATTGGTTATTTACTTAAGAGTGTGACTGATTGTGCTGTTTGCTGATTTCTTTCAAGATCGCACAAGCTATTTTATTTGAGGGTGGTAGAATCTCCCTAAAATTTTTTTCTGACAGTTTTGGAATTTTTCTAATGTATAATAATTTTTAAATGTAAGTATTTTCTGTCTTCAAATATCCCTAGGAAATGGTGAAAGCCCATTTGATTAGACCCATATCTAATTTTTTTTTACTTAGAATTAAGGTGATTGGCATCTGAGGTAGTGATTCCTTTTTAAGTGTTTGAGATATGTTTTAAAGCTTTATGTGCATGAGGGTTTGCCTACATGTATATATGTGCATCACTTATATGCCTGATTCTGGGCGACTCTATCTGAAGGGCCGAGATCCTCTGGGACTGAAGGTATAGACAGTTGCAAGCTGTCCTGTGGGTGCTGGTAACTAAATCCAAATCTCTAAGAGCATCAAGTAGTCTTAACTGCTAAGCCATCTCTACAGCTCCTAAATGTAATGATTTCTAATCTTCGTACTTCAAAGAATTTGCTCTTACACTGGAAATATTGCATTCTCCTTTAAAGATATCAATGTGTACAAAGTACTAGGAGCTTCTCTTTTTACAGAGAAATATCTAAAGTGGTTAATTTCAGTCTGTAGCCAATAAGGCACTCTAACCTGTGTTATTTGATACAGATACAAACAACGTTTTCGCCTAAACCAAAAGAACTATTAGTTTTATTCTTGCAAAAATGAAAGGCGGTATCGTTGTACAAATCATCTTAAGTAATGTTTCTTGAATACTTCGTATAAGTTTACAGAAACATGCAAGTAACTCTTAGGATGTCCTCTGCTTGGTGGATTTTTAGTAAACACTGGAGGGATTTTTAAAAATATCTTTGGTCAGTTGCGTGTGAGTCAAAAAAGCACAAACAAGTAAGTGAAACCAAAGGCTGTTCTCTTTTGGAACTCCAAACTGCCAATTTCTGTGGCACTATTTTCACCAGTAAGTAAAAATTTGGGGACTAACAAACACAATTTGGGATTGTAACCTTGAGTCGCAGCGGCCAGAGGGCGGTGGATTGGCTGCTCCACCAATCACAGCCCAGCACCGCCTTATATAAACCCGGAGCCGGCGCAAGGGAGCATTGCAAAACTTGCTCTTCGTTTTAGTTTTCTTTTTTTTTTTCTAGCAGCTATCAGCTTCTGTTTTCGCCATGTCTGAAACTGCTCCTGCCGAGACTGCGGCTCCAGCTCCTGTGGAGAAGTCTCCCGCCAAGAAGAAGACGACAAAAAAGGCTGGCGGGGCGAAGCGGAAGACCACTGGTCCTCCAGTGTCCGAGCTCATAACTAAGGCGGTTTCTGCTTCTAAGGAGCGCGGTGGGTTGTCCCTGCCTGCTCTTAAGAAGGCTCTGGCTGCTGGTGGCTACGATGTGGAGAAGAACAACAGCCGCATCAAGCTTGGGCTCAAGAGTCTGGTGAGCAAGGGTACCCTGGTGCAGACCAAAGGTACTGGTGCCTCAGGTTCCTTCAAGCTTAACAAAAAGGTGGCTTCTGGCGAGGCCAAGCCCAAGGCTAAGACCGGGGCTGCAAAGGCCAAGAAGCCTGCAGGTGCCACCCCGAAAAAGCCTAAGAAGGCTGCGGGGGCAAAGAAGACCGTGAAGAAAACTCCAAAGAAAGCAAAGAAGCCTGCGGCAGCTGGAGTAAAAAAAGCTGCCAAGAGCCCTAAGAAGGCCAAGGCTGCTGCCAAGCCTAAAAAGGCTGCAAAGAGCCCGGCAAAGACCAAGGCGGTGAAGCCTAAGGCATCTAAGCCTAAGGTTTCCAAGCCGAAGACAGCTAAGCCAAAGGCTGCCAAGGCAAAGAAGGCTGTTCCCAAAAAGAAGTAGGTTTGCTTGTGACAGCAACAAAGCCCCAAAGGCTCTTTTCAGAGCCACCCAGAGAGCTCTGTGAATGTAGCTGTGCACACTTTTAGCTCTCCGTGTTCTGTTTTATGTCCCAATTGGGCCAACTACCAGGAACACCTGCGTGCCAAGATTTGAGTCCTGTGCTCACAATCTACAAGGTAAGACTCAGTTTAGTCTTCCCTTCAAATAAACTGGTTATGTTGGCTCTTAAAAATATCACGGTCCCTGGGACCTTTGATATAGTTGCTCTCTGGCAAGTCGGTACGTGGGCCATACCTCCCATGTGCTAGCCTATTTCAGTCTGAGGGGGTATTCTCCCTGGTGTGAATGCATTGTTAGGATGAAGTGAGGCTTCCAGACCGAGTAGTAAACGCAGGGCGCGAAAAAGATCGAATTCATTGGCTGTATGTCACATCACCTAAACCAATGGTATCTTGGTTTATTACTAACTTTAAACTTGATTGGACAGTTATTAGATGACGTTTGCAGATACGCGATATTCATAGCCATAACCTGTTTAAAAGGCAGCCAGTGAGGTGCCCATCCTAAACCCCTCACGTAAAAGCGAAGTTTTCTATTTATCTTAAGAGAGCTTGTGCTGGTGAATGTCCGGTACTACTGGAAGGGCGCGTAGAAGGCGTTGACCAAGTATGCAGAACAGCAAGACATGGAAACGCAGCCGCAAGGTGTTGAAGGTCCTGAAGCAGACCCCCAAACTTGGGCATCTTTTCCAATGCCATGGGTCACTCACATCGTGCCCACGTGCACAAAGGCTGTGCACAAATTTCCACTCTCAAGTAATTTACGCCTTTTTATAGAGCCTTTTTTACTCAGTTTTTCCATTGGAAGTATACAGACTCTGAAGTCCCTTGATGAACGATCCTTTTGTTTTAAAGATTGGTTAATGTAGTAATTGGTGTGACACCCCTACACAGGACATTTACTGTATTTGCTTAACATTACGTCAGTTTTAAGTGTTAAAGACAGTGTAGCGTTTTCACTTTTAAGGTTATATTGTTGCAATATTACTAGCTGGTAATTAGTTTTAACCGCCATTTCAGGCTTCTTAGTGGGACAGGAAGGAATGCTCTGTGTCAATAGTTTTAAAGGGATGTTTCAAGTCACGGGATTTTTGTTTTTTAAACAATATTAAGTATTTGGGATGTGGTTTCTTGCTCACGGCAGACTTAATTTGTGTCAAATGCCTGTTATTTAGAAGTTGAGTTACAGTTAAGACATCCCAAAGGCTTAAGGCAGAATTGGCTCCTTGTGTACACACTACGCTGGTAGTTCGATTTTCTCCACTCCACCCCCTTGTCAATCTGCATATCTGGTCTAGATACAGCAAAGTGGTCATATTTGTTCCCATAGCCATACTTTTCTATGCATTTTCTACAATGAAAATGCTATCATTTTGCCCCCATGGGTTTTATTTGCCTCTTAATCTTTTGCACTTTTTTAAAAAAAAAATTGTAATTATTTTCAGATATGTCACAGACCAGCTCAGAATAACCTCCAACTAAAGGCAATTCTTGCTGAGTCTTAGTGCTGGGATAAGTATGTGTTAGAATGCAGGCACCATCTTGCCTGGTTGTCATTAATTCCAAAGGGTTAGAATTTTCCTTCATCTACAATGCGGGTCGTTCTCTTAGAATTAGCTCTACGTCTCATTTTGATAATATTTCTGAATGAGTTGCCTTCAGCAAAGATTTAAAGTGCCCTCTACCTCCATCTCAAGGCCTCATTTGTGAGAGAGGTTAAACGACCAGCTTTAGTATGTTGCAAATTAAACACCTTAGGTTAACTGTATACATTTTCATATATATTTTAAACAAATAGAAAATTAGACATCAAGTAGGTAATTGGTAGAATAGTATTTTTTTCTTGTAACAATGGTATTTCATAAGTTTGCTAGAGAGACAAAAAATAGGGAAATGTATGTTTCCTCCGAGTTCTCATTTGTATTGCTGTCTCTTCATAGGAATGCTATTCTATTTATTTCTATTAGTAATTTAAAAGAGACCCCTGAAAAGTTTTGTGATTATATTTGTAAATATTTTACTGCATTGACTGCATTATCACTTTAAGTATTTAAATTCTTAATCTTATGTAGATTCCTATGTGCAGAATTCAAGTATACTTTGCAGGTAAGCTTTCCTCCACCATTGAACCCAGACAATGACCCTCTAGCAATGACAATGGGCAACACAGGAGGCTTCTGAGTGTTTGAAATACACTTGGCCTAAGACGCAGCACAGAGACCTAGAACAGAGGATAGAATACGGTAGTGATGATAATCTTGGCCAGTCTTGTTAATAATAATATTTACTTGCAGTCAAAGAAATGGAAACCAATGCAGTTAAATGGTGAACATGGCTATATCAGCTATATCTCCTGCCTCTGACAATACCCACCGCCCCGTGTGTGTGTGTGTGTGTGTGTTTATAGGCAGAGTAAGAAGGACGAGTCCAGCAAGGGAGTAAAGGGAACACTAATTTAGGGGCTGTTTTTTGTTGCTGCTGTCAGTGTGTCCTGTGTCCCAGATCAGGAACATCAAGGTGATGGCACAAGTGCCAGGGATGGCTAATCTGAACTGCCTTCCCTCTTAATACCCTTGCTTTATCTGCACCCCTCCTATTGCCTCTCCCAGCACTGGCATTTTCTGGTCCTGGCCACCACTGTCATGTGGCATTTAGGTCCCCCACCACACCCCCATACACATACTGCCTTAGTTTTGCTGTATTCCAAAAGAAATTATGAAACAGAAATTGGTTAAGAGAAATTAATTCATTTATAGTTTGACCCAAATCAGGAAAAGAACCTATTTCTTCGCCACTGTGCCTGTGGCAGTCTACTGTTCTATAGGAGACAGAGATGAAGATGGACAGTAGGAAACAAAGATAGGTTTACAGGGCCTCTCCTGCAAGTGAGGTCGAGCCACAAAGCCCTGGGTGGCCTTAAACTCTCATCAATCCAATGAAGACCACAAAAAAGCTAAATCCTGGGTGGCTTCTCTAGTGATGAATCTATGTGTTCAGAGGGGCAGAGAGGAACATCTATAGTTAGGAAAGGCTGGACAATCTCAGCTGTCATGCTTGGCCTTCTATGTCTGCCATTGGGGGTGGGGGTGCTTTGGTAGGGTGTGATCTACACAATGTGTGTTCATAGGTGACACTGCCAGACAGGTATCTTGTGTGTTGCAGGATGGGAGACACTAAGCTTAGAGTTCCTTCAGGACTGATTTAAACCTATTATTCTAGAGTGCTAAGTTGTAGTGTTGCAGAAATCTGTGTAGGACACTGCACCTTAGCTCTGAGATGACAGACAGACTCTGAGACACAGGAGACAGTAAATCAGAGGATAGTAATACAATAGGAAGAAGAAGCAGACAGGGAAGGGGAGAGGGAAGGAGCAGAATATGAGACATAAAGAAAATGGAGCAACTCAGCGTTCCCCAGTTGGGTCAGGCGAGGGCCCTGCTTCTGTGAAACCTACTGGGATGCACTCCTTTCTGCTTCTTTGGGGACTAACTGCATAGCAGGAGTTGTTCTTGAGGATGGACCCATACCTATGTCTCAACATTTTTTAAAAGTCTGTGGAGCTGAGGTAAACTGAGTTTGGTCTTGGGTTTCTGGACAGAAGGGCTTAATATCTAGGAAGGGACACATGACATTTGGAACCTTTATAGAATCATTCTGTAATAATTGAGAGAAATCCAGATATATTCTCTGACTTTTCTGACTAGACTATTTTGGCTATCATATCTTCCCTTAGATTTCAGATAGCATTTAAAATGTATTGTGCAGTAATAAAATTGGGAATCGTTCCTACCCAGAAAGATAATCCTATAAAACCTCAGGTTGCATCAGGTTCAACTGCTGCATGCAGGCATGTTACTAGAATGGCCAAGAGCGGGAGTAGGAACAGGAGACCACAGCTTTCTCTCTTGCATCTGGACAGCACTCCTGAGGACCATGAGAAGCTTCCAGCCTTTCCACTTCAAGGCTTTGGGTGGAGAACTGTGTATTCATCAACCTTAGAATTTCTGGCCTGAGTTACTGGAATGCTCTTAAAATGCAGTGCAGACCGTTTTCTT